TTTATGCAAATGTGAAATAGGCGCTGATGCATCAGCCACCATTTTCTTCACGATGATCTTTTCATGTTTCAACAAACATATTTAAATGTTAAATGGTAAAAAAATTACATTTTACACAATGTGCTTTAACATAACCACAATTTTGGGCAATAAAAGTATAAATTGCATAGTAAACTGTGAAATATAGATGTCGCTGTGTGATAACCTAGAAAAGAAAATGGTTTCGTCATCCCTCAATGCAGAATTTCAGTAATTCAATTCGTATGAGGAATATTATAGCCTTGTAGCTCTGAGTTTAGTCCTGATTCGATGTGCAACATCCCTGAGGGCGATAAGAAGCGGATAACAAAATGATGATATATGAGGGAACATAGTATATCGCCAAGAAAGTAAAACTGGAAAGAAATTCACAATTCCAAGCGAATTTTAAGGAAAAAAGTGGAAAATTTTGAAAGAAACACTTGGATTTTATTTTTAGCTGAAATATTTGATTGATTATTTGTTGATAACAATGGTAGGGATTTAAATAATGTAAATTTTGGGCTGGAAAAACAAAAAGAGGTATTTTGCATGTATAATGTGCATAAATTTCAGGGAAAGTGAAGAGGGATAACTCAACGCCGAATCTAATTCTGATTCAAGAATCCGAATGATTGAAATATGAAAATTTGGAAATAATTCGTCATTTGCAAGTCACACTTTTATTTTTTAGCATTTTATCAGAAAAAGTGTCAAAAATTATATTTTAACAATTTAAAGATTAATATTTAGTAGTTTACTAATAAATTTTTACTAAAATTATATAAAATTATAAGAAAAAAAGTGATTTTTTGATTTTTTGTTTGTTTGTTTCACTTTAACTCAAAAACTATTCAACCGATCATAATGAAAATTTGTACACATATTCTTAGTAGTCCCCGATTGGTTATAGGCTACTTTTTATTTAATAAAAAAAATAATTTATTAAATAAAATAAAGAAATAGTTTAGCCAATAATACCTCTGCATCTGGCTATTTGACTACTTTAACGCCATCTAGCATTCCAGCAATGAAGCTCAAACCTAAGTACTATAGTACCATCACACTGTATTATCACACTGTATTACCAACAGCTACGTCAACATCAAATCCAATTGACTACACTATGGAGACTGTACACTATACTTCCATAGACTATACTTTCCGCCATTTTAAACTTCCCGCCATTCTACTTCATTGTTACTTCTTCTGTGACTGCAGACGCGTGCGGAAGCAACTTCATTATTTTAGATATTTACGAGCGAAACCGCGGGTTAAAGCTAGTTATTATATAAAAGTGATTTTTTTGATTTTTTGTTTGTTTGTTCCGCTTTATCTTGAAAACTACTAAACCAATCATCATGAAATTTTGTATACATATTTTCAAGGATATTACAAAGGATATAGACTACTTTTTATTTTTAAATTAACAAAAATGGCCGACTTATTACTAAAATATCAATAATTATGTTTCAAAATTTAGTTATCTTAATTTAAAAAAATAATTCCATATTTTATTAATGAAATATAACCTTACTAAGTCCAGAAACATAAATTATTTAAACATTGTTTAAAATTCGTATCACATACTCCTAAGAATAGAAAAAAAAATCTCGGTCGTCAGTTCAAGGCGTTTTGCGCCCTTTGAGCGAGAATATGAATAAGTAAAAAAAAGGACGATGGCAAGATGGCGAGGTCGGTTCGGTTCATATTTCTTTATTTATTGCTCGTGCATAATAAGAAGTTTTATTTGCATAGTGGCTCTTCACAGCCTACACAGCCAACGTTTTCCCCAAAACTGTACGCAGATGAAAATGAAAAAACGTTTCTCTAAATTTATGTTCAATAGCCGACTCCGCGCTTGAGATTTAAGTGCTTCATGAATAATTTTAACCTCACAGATTCAAAATATTACAAAATACAAAAAATCACAAATTTTGACTAAAATTTCACCGAATATAATTATCTCATAATAAATTAGCGAATTTTTCCAACATTTTACTTCTCTACACACGCGTGCTCAGATAATTTCGTGTGGAAACAAAAGTCGCGACGTGTAAACGCCGGATAAATTAAGGGTAAGCAGCGTAATTGCCCAGTTAATAAAGATAACGATATCGGTTGTGCTCCTCGCGCTTTATTATCACCACCGTCGCGGTGCTTGAGCTTTTGATAACTCACCGAAACTTTCATAAGCGCGACGTGCATAGATTTTAAATTTTAATTTATCAACTTAATCATACGCTAATCTCCTAATGCATGCGCCTTGCGGATGGGACCGCACATTTTCCAGCGTGGGCGGAAATTTGCGTTTTGATCGTAGTCACACAACTTGTTCATAAGCGAAAATTGTTTGACGCGGCGGATGTAAATCTGACCGAAAAGGTCTAATCTATTTACGTGCGTGGTTGTTGTGAAGGGACAAACTTTTACACATAAAATAATCAACTGAAGAAGGTCGACAACGCAACCCACATTACACCAAATACAAAATTTAGTATTAATGATTTTTAAGTGTAAAATTTAATATTTTACTGAATTAAGATGTTATTTCAACGTTTACGCAAATTTTGTCGATAAATATCGTCCCTGTCAGCGTAATTTATGACAACCAATAAAACATCGCTTTTATTGGTTGTAAATACACAGCACAGCGTGTACATGTGGTTGCATACGTCATGCCCACTTTCCCTAACTCCTACAAGCGTGACAAAACGTTTAAAACAACATTTCATCAAGTTATATTATATTTAAACACTAAGTGTTAATTTTACCCTGTGTATACACTTAGGTATCGTGTGTTGCCTATACAAACACGCAAATGATGTATAAGTAACCTACACGAGTACTATGAAGGTAAATGTGTTGCCTACATTCGTTTGTTCATTCGCAGCGGATGAAAAATGACCGCTACAATCGGCTGCGAGCCAATAAAACTTGATTAATGCCAATTATTTGCATCGCCGCACAAATGTAGATTAAAGTGCGAGAACAGCGCGCGGGCGGCGATTGATGACTTTAGATTTCCATCGTTTTATCACGTCGTTCATTCATTGCTTTTAATTAGAGCGTAATAAATGTTGTAATTACCCAATTCGAACAAGTTGTAATAATATACAGGGTGTTTAAATGTAAATTTTAATTGTGAAGGTGAATTTGGTTGTTTTGGACGCACCGGCGTATAAATTACGTTTCTAACAGTTGGTTGTGAAAACTTAGGCAAACGTAAGCGAATTAAACTTACCTTTAGCAACTGGGAAATGGAAAATTTTAATTAAATTCAGCTTATTAAGTCTAGAGTAGAGTAGAGTACAGCGAGTAAATAAGAAACGTTATTTTATTCCTCTGCGCTTCTATAAAAGATGAAAACTATAATTTATTTGCGTAATCCGATTAATTAATTTTCCATTTTCCAATGGCGAATTTCGAAAATGGTTTCCTCGACTGCACACGCTCCGCACATGATGTTTACAAACCGATGTTGAAAATTGGGTCGCTTTCCCAATGAATTTCACCCAAATCCACGCTGCTCGCGGTTCATTTGAGCAACCGACCGGAATTTCCTTAATTAGCCAACGGAAAACTAACATATTCGATTATATTCCATTGATTTTAACCTTAAAAACTCAATTTCTCATTTTTTACTTTTGAGGTAGGCAACAAATCAAACATTCATCCCTACTAATATTATAAATGCGAATGTCCTGATGTTTGTTACACTTTCACGCAAAAACTACTTAACAGGTCATCATGAAAATTTGTACACATATTCTTAGTGGTCCCCGAATGGTTATAGGCTACTTTTTATTTAATAAAAAAAATTATTTTTATAATAAAATAAAGAAATAGTTTAGCCAATAATACCTCTGCATCTGGCTATTTGACTTCTTTAACGCCATCTAGCATTCCAGCAATGAAGCTCAAACCTAAGTACTATAGTACCATCACACTGTATTATCACACTGTATTACCGACAGCTACGTCAACATCAAATCCAATTGACTACACTATGGAGACTGTACACTATACTTCCATAGACTATACTTTCAGCCATTTTAAACTTCCCGCCATTCTACTTCATTGTTACTTCTTCTGTGACTACAGACGCGTACGGAAGCAACTTCATTATTTTAGATATTCGCGAGCGAAGCCGTCAAAAATAAATTTTCTTTAAATTTTTAAATTTTTTATGCTTTTCATTCGTCAAAAAATAAATTTGAATGTCAACAGCGTACTTCCCCCGCTGATCTCGGCCACATTTTTCGATTTATTGTATTTCTCACGTCCCGGATGAAAAATGCGCCACTAAACGAGTGTCTGCGACGTGCAGCAACCAAAAATATCGCCAAACATGAATGCAAACATATCGAATTATCGAAAAATATTTCGCGCGCATGTTGCACTCGCTCGGAAAAATCGAAAAATTCAATTTTTCTATCTTACGTTTAGCGGTGAACGACAACGTCACGCCTGACTTTGGTAATATTTTTTGATCGAACGATGTTTGTGACTCCAGCTATGCACATTGCTATGCGTTGCCCGGCGCATCCACCATCGATATTTTTTATTATAAGAATCTTATGAAAATGTATGAGGGCCGCCATTGTGGACGTCAATGGATCGATTTCAATCTAGTTTTACTACACACATTGTATCATAATATATGCGCGTAAATAATACGAGGCGGCGGCCCCGACACTTTTCTATTATACTTCAGAAAATAAATATTGAAATAAATACAAAGCGTTTGTGAAAAAACTTCAACTTCCGGTTTTCCGGTTTTGTAATTTTAACTTTACTAAATTATCTTTATGTGGTACAAAAAATTAATAGAATATACAACTATTTCCGGTTTTCTGGTTTTTGATTTTAACCTTATAACCTTTTTTATAAATAAATATAACGTGGTACAAAAAAATAATAGAAAATACAACTACTTCCGGTTTTCCGGTTTTTGAATTTTTCGCATTTCCTGCTTTCAGAATGCTCCTAAGGCAGTATGCAGTCTCCTGGTGGTTAATACTAATCTGGCTGAATCCGTGCGAAGCAATGTGTCCGCACGAATGCACCTGCCGGCAGTCAGAGAAGGGCCGTCGGCGGGTGACGTGCACAATGGGCGGCATGGCTGACCCGTTACCCACGGCCGAAATGGCCGCCGATATGGAAGTGCTCGAGATCGGCGCGCCCGCTGACAATTGGAACGCGCTGACGCTGGGCCAACTCTTTCAGAACTTCAAGGCACTGCAGGAGCTGCACATCCGTCGGTCCACACTAACCGCCATCGGTATGCACGCCTTCTGGGGCGTGCCTTCCTTACGTATCCTCGACCTGCCCGAGAACAACATCACCACACTCCTGGATCACAACTTCCGGGGTCTAGTAAATCTCGTAGAGTTAAATCTGGAGTCCAACCGGATTGATCGTCTACCAATCGGGGCGTTTCGCCATCTCTCGGAGTTACGTGTGCTTAATCTCGAGCGTAATTTAATCAGCGACTTGGTGCCAAAGGTGTTTATGAAGATGAGTAAACTAGAAGTGTTGAAAACCAGTTGGAATCCAATCAGCGAATTAGATCCCGAGGTGTTCAAAGACATCCTGGTAAGTGTCTCAGAAATTTTTTCTCTGATTACCAACTTAGGACCTAATTTGCTCCAACAGGAATTACGAGTGTGGCAATGTAGAGGTTGTCACTTGAAGAGGATCAACACCCAAATCTATCACCTGCTGCCTTATCTGGCCCACTTGGACCTAGGTCAGAACCGCATGCAGTTCCTCGAAGCGGACGAATTCATCGACCTGCATCGTCTGCGAGTGCTCAAACTAGACGGTAATCAACTCCCAGTCGTCCTGGAACGCACCTTCGTCAACAACGTCCATCTCCGTGTGTTATGCTTAGCTCGTAACCGCATAGCGAAGATCACCAACACTGCCTTCCTCAACCTCACCAACCTCGTGGAACTAGACATCGGGTACAATAAACTGGACCGCTTGGAAGCAGACACCCTACACCCAATCTCCGAGAAACTCCAGAAACTCATCATAAGTGGTAATAACTTTGGGATATCCGTGATCAGACTAGCACTTCAAGTGACTCCTCATGTGACTGATCTGGCGATAGCAGATCTCAAACTCAAGGACCTACCTAAAAACGTGATACCCTCCCATGTGCAACACCTAAACCTCTCCGGGAATTACCTGAGTAATTTAAGTGATTCCGCGTTACCAGAACAACTCCTAAGTCTGGACCTAAGAGGTAACCCATTTCGGGGCCTAGATGATCAGTTGATCCTACGCCTGGAACATGTCCACACTTTACACCTGGATAACATCACGTGGACCTGTGAATTGTGTCACATCTCACCAATGTTATTCCGTGTAAACACTTCTGTGTTCCTCGCAAACATAACCTGCATGTATCCGATGACCTTGAGAGGTGTCTCCCTAGCATCTCTAAACTTTGAAGACATCAAACAGTGCGGAGAGGAAGTAGATCCCAATGTCTCGGAACTCTCACATTTTGTAAAGAATAAACTTGGGTTGATCATGGGTGCAAGTGGGTTGTTAATATTCCTAGTGATATGTGTACTATTTGTGGTTATATCCTGTGTCAAACGGCATGCAACCCACAATGCAGACATCAAAGAAAAAGAAGTACGTACCAGGGAAATACGAATGGATTCAACAGCGACCGCCATTTTTGTTGGGGGTGGTCCAGGGGGTAAAAACGAAATCAGTTTTAAGTTTCCTTTAGATTTGACAGAAAGAAAACTGTCAGTTAGTACCATTGATGAAATGAAGAAGGAAACAATGATTAATTCCATTCCGAATGGGACAGGGACAGGAATATGAAAGTTGCTCATGTTAATATCAAAACCTAACCTTAAATTATGTTTGTTTTGGTTTTAAATGATTGCATGCAAATGCAAATCAATAAAATGTGCATAAACAAGGAAATAGCGGCGCTGGATGCCAATCATTCTCTGAATATAATAGCGCGCTTCTTTACGACGCCATTTCCGGCATTTATTTGTTCAATAAATGTCACCGATGGTGACGCGCGCAAATTTATTAATCCACAGCGTTCCCCAACGTAAACATGTGTTACAAGTCTTGTTATGTTTTACAAAACACTCGGTATACATGCAAATAAATAAAATTACTACAACAACAAATGTCAAATGTCAAATGTCAAACGTAAACTCGTTTTAATGCAGGACCACAAAAATTTCATTTAAATTTTATGTTTATTAACATAAAAACAAGAAAAAAACATTTTTATGCGGGTTGATGGAGTAGGTTATATTCATTCAGGGTAGGCAGCACACTATACACGTAAATATATTGGAATATATTTGAATCTCCGCGTCAGTTTCTGCTTAGGTTTTAAACACATTTCAACTTTGCACTCGTTGCGCTAACAAAAGCTAAAGCGCGATTGCTCGAGTCGTCGTTTCGTTTGATTCGCGCATAAAACAGGAGCCGAGTTAAAATCCGAAATCTTCAAACGCTCCAAGCGGCTGCTGCTACTCACTGAGCAACACATAAACGAGCTTTCAATACGAAACGCAAACTACGCCGTAATTTCGTACGTTCATTTTGATTCACGACTATAACGACATACGGCACGGCAGCGTTTATTCAAGTTAATTAAGTAGCATACAGAGTGTCCCAAAAATTTTTTATCATAAAAAAAATTTGTTCTACGTTTTTAGGTTATAGAAATAAATTTAATACTTTTTGGTAAATTTTTTTTAAACAAAATTTTTGGTCTTTCTGTGACACCCTGTGTGGACTTCTTTTAAGTCCTCTCTAAATAGTGTTGGTGTTTGACTGCGGCGTGCGCGGCTTACGCTGCGTCCTGTTTCGTCCTTTGCTTTTCCATCTGTTACTTCTGGCGTGCTGTTGCTTGATACAATTATCCCTTCGCGTTATCGCCCCCTTCTGGGCTTTCCCGGATCGCCGACGAATAGCTCCACGATGGTGTCGTCGCCGTCGTCGTCATCGCGTGTGTGTTGCCGGGCCATTTCTTAAACATGTTTCATGTCGCTCGATTCCTTATTTCGTGTGGGGATGCTGCTGGGAGGATGAAATACAACGCTGATAAGGGTATTATTTAGTACTAACTAGTAGCAAGACAAGTAGCACATGTTTAGACGTCGCACAGTTTAACAGTTTCGATGCTCGTATTAGCTGTTTGTGGATTTTTGGTGAAAATTTTTGCAAAAATTGCGATAACTCGGAAAGTATTGATGATAAGATGATGATTTTTATTGCAAAATGTGTGTTTTATTATGGACTATTATTGGTATTTTTTTAGAAATATTAATTTAATTATTTCATTGGTTTTTTGGATAAAAATTGAGGAAATATTTGTTTTTGTTGAAATTACACTCGAAATTTTTGGAAAAATTGCGATAACTCGGAAAGTATTGAAGATAAAATGGTGATTTTTTTTTGTAAAATCTGTGTTTTATTATGGACTATTTATGGTATTTTTTTTAAATTTTTAATTTAATTATTTGATTGGTTTTTTGGATAAAAATTGAGGAAATATTTGTTTTTGTTGAAATTAACTGAAATTACACTCGGAATTTTTGGAAAAATTGCGATAACTCGGAAAGTATTAAAGATAAAATGGTGATTTTTTTTGTAAAATGTGTGTTTTATTATGGACTATTATTGGTATTTTTTTAGAAATTTTAATTTAATTACTTAATTGGTTTTTGAGCAAAAATTGAGGAAAATATTTGGGTTTTTGTTGAAATTATCTGAAATTAGTATTTAATTTATAATTTATTCAAATTTCAGGCCGGTGTATTCAAATAACCGAAATCAATTAACAATCTCGCATCCAAAATTAACACCCAATCGCCATTGTTTTCACAAATCCAATTTCCGTTCGCAAATTACCGCGCAAAATTCAAATTTATTATGCGAAAAACAAATAATATCAAAATAACGAAAATAAATCCATGCACATATCGCGTACATTTTCTACCAACTCTTGATGAATAATCACAAACTATTAAGCAACGAGCTGTAACCGTAATTTAAACGTAATCGAACAAGGTTGATTAATGGGCTAATTAATTAACTAGTGCCTATGAAATAACGCAAACAAAAATAAAATAAAACAAAAACAAAAATTGAAAAAAAACTGCCAAAGAATGTTTTGTGTTTTTCTATGATAAATAAATAAATAAATAAATAAAAAATAATAAAAGCACACAATAGAATAATACAAGCGCACAATGAATAAAAATATATATTATTTTCGGGAACATGTCTGCTCAATTTAACACATATTGCGTTAATTAAGGTACAATTTTAGTTTTGGCGAGTGTTCAATTACTTAAAATCAATTACACGCACACACATTTATTATTAAACAGTTAAACACACCCGCGTGCAAATAAATAATAAATTGTGGTATTATATAGTCACGACAACATTACTAAATCAATAAAAATCAAAAAAAAATCAATAAAAAAAATTTATTCACAAAACAAATCAATTTAAAGCAAAATAACAAAAATTTTACCAAAAAAAATCACATAATGGTGCCGTGACTATATAATACTCTCAAAAAATCAAAAATATCCTGTTTCCGCTCATGTAGATATTTATTCCCGGTATTGATCTGTAATTAGCTGATATATTTTATCATACAAAACAAACAAAGTGTTTTTATTCCATTCCAGTCGAAATTTTAACCCCTGCAACCAATTATACACAAATATAAAGCATTATATATGCAACCGGTGAACAGCGCCACCTTTATGTTGATTTCTATAGTTTATTATTGCATTCAATCAGAATAACCCGCATTATTCGTATTAAATAAACGACAGACAATTTGTATGTTGGTAAACTTTGCAAGTTTTGAATAATAGCGGCGGTGAAAGCACTGCACGGCGAATTAAATTATAAATGTAAAGTGTAAATAAATTGCGCCGATTGCACCGAACCCGCAGTCGAAGCAATTAATGTAAATTTAACTTGTACATATGTAAATTGTTTTTTGTATTTTAATATTTATACCAGATACAATACGTATTACATTAGTGTTTGCATGTTGTCACAAAAACCGAGATATTCGTAAATCTAGTAAAGTGTTGGCGTAAATAAATACAAAATACACTATGTGGTAGATGTATGCACAGGTTATCAAACTAAACTTTATCATAAATTAAACAATAAGCAAATGTAAATAAATTGTAAATAATGTTTGATTTCTGGAGTAATTTCGAATTAAATTGCCAAATTGTTGAAAGGAGAATTATTTGTGTTGTACATTTTGTAAATAATGCCAAATGAAATGACGGAAATAAATAAATTGGAAAGAAAAATTGTTGTGTGATGTTTTTAATTAAGATTTAGTTAAGTTGCGGAAGGAATTTGTACTCGAGGAAATATTTCCGGTTTCCGAGTGTCGGAGCAACACTGCTGCTCACTTAAGAGGTTCATTTGAAGGAGTTGTAGAGTACAAGTTGAAGTTGAGGGAAGATAATGAGGGGGAATTTAGTTTAAGTGGTTTAATTGTTAAGTTTTGTAGAAAAAATAATGAAAAAATGTTTTTTGACGTTTTTTGTTGTTTATTTTAATAAAAAATAGGAAAAAATAGGTAAAAACGCTTTGGGACCAATCAGAGAGATCAACACAACTCTGACGTCACTTCCCCCACCATTAGGAGTAAGATGGGTTGCCTACAATGAGAAAATATTAATGTTTTTGTTTAAATTCATTTTTTGCCGTTTATCTTCATTAATCGTCATTTTTTTAAGTTTCTAAACTCAATTCCGACTACATTTTATATACAGGGTGTTAAATAAATACCTCCTTATCCATAATTCCCAAAATTTCAAATTTTTAAATTGAATTTTTTTCTTTTCTCTTTTTTTAGTTTTTTGACGCATTTGATTGGTTCTATTCCACCGGCATATAAACCGTAATAAAGAACGACGTTATAATCTCAAACACGGCGCAGAGTCTCTATGACGATGAACGGTTGTCGCGGGATGTTCGCCGGCTCGTGGCCTAATCCAACTAGAGTGCGTGATATATGATGATGGAGAAATTTATTACGAGAGTAAAATATGACAGCGTGGAAATTTCTTTCGGCGCGACAGACAGTAGTTACTCCAGCGTAGACGTCGACGTCGGAGACCTTCGAGGGTTATCAGCTCGCAGGGACAAAGGAGGATGGAGAATTCAAATAATTTATAGGCGACAAAAATGCCTACGGCTTGGAATGTTCTATTCTAGGTGTAGAAAAACCAAAACCACGTCGACTGGACACGTATGATGAGTATTTTTCTTCTTCTCCTGCGGCAGGAAATTGAGAAATTGAAAATTGAAAATTGAAAAGTTTGACGGCGTGATTTTAATTAGAAAGTTAAATATTGCCCCAATGTATTGAAAATTTATATCCGTGAGTTCAAATTAATTAAAACTTTTCGCGCATGCGCAGTAAAAATTTTCATTTTTTACATTTCAATACAAAATCCCAACATGTTTTATCCAGCGATGAATGCCTGGACGAAAAACTCTGCAACGTCTCTATTTGGAGGTGGAATGTGAGGAAAGGTTGAAAGGACACTCGTTTGCGCGCACGCAAGGGTGAAAAATAGCGCCGAAAAAAACTCAGCGGGGAAAAACTAAAAATGTCGATGGTTAGTTGCGGGCGCTGCGGAAGGAACACACGCCGAGATGACGGAACTGGTTTGCTTTGGCTCTCTCTGCGTCGTCTGGAAATAAAATGTAATATTGGCAGCACGGGTGGCTGATGACGTTTTGGTGGATTTCTACGGCGGAATTGAAGGCCTGTGGCTAGTCGGCAGGAAGTTGTGGAAATGGAATTATTGAGCCAATATTGACGACAAAAATTGACCCTTTGGCTATTCACACAAGAATTTTACTCAGGGAATGTGGGTTTTGAAAAAAAGAGTATAAATAGTAGATTTACCAGAAAATTTGATAAAATTTAAGAGAATTGAATGATTTTTAACCTAATTTATGCATTTTTTACATTTTTGGTTATGTTTTGCATGTTTAACCTCACATTTTAAAGGATATTTACTGTTTTACTAATATTTTAAGTTATTTTTAAGATTTTTATTAATTTTAGGTTATCTATGAGGTATGCAACCCAATTTACTCTTATTTTTTACAATATTTACAATTTTAGGAGTTTTATCAATGAAAAACTTGATAAAATCGACTAAAATCGTAATATTTTAACCTCTTCTACACATTTTTATACTTTTAGGTTATGTTTGCCTCAATTAACCTCAAATTTCAAAAGATATTCACATTTTTCTCTCCAATAAAACAATTAAAACCAATTTCTAACCTATTTTCAAAACTTTACATCATCCATACACTATGCAACCCAAAATACATTTATTTTTACTCCAGGACGATCTGTAGCAATCAATAACAATTTCCCAGCAGTCCCTGGGCCAGTGTTCCCCTGCTTCTTGCTTTCGCTCTTCGACAACATGGACAATATCGACAACAAAACTATTCGTGCATCGTCCAACCACTTTTCCACTGTTCTAGTTTCCAGTTGCTAGTTCACAGTTGTGGGAATGCGCTGTGGGGCGGCCCACCGATGTGCTGCTGGTCAGTATTTACTGCCGCCGCCGCCCTAGCGTTTCGCCATTGTGGCGTTCCAGTTAATGTCTCTCCGGTGGACGGCGCGGACTTTGCAACATCGACAACATACACTTCAGGTGGGCGCTTGACTCCTCTTCCTCTTTCCGGGAAGTAGTAACATGAAACACCGAGCACACACAGTGTCTTTGTGTTTGGATGTGTGTATTGGGTTGTCCACTTATGCGCTACTAATGTTACATGATTGCAATTGTGTGCAATTTAAATATCAGATAACGTGCAATTTATTATCATTTTCTTCTTGTATTGTCAAAATATTTCATGGTAAACATTGTGTTTTATATTCTTTGTTTTAAATTCTTGTGTTGCAGGGGAAATTGTAGAATTTTACGTCGTCTGTATGCAAAACACAACGATATTATTATTATTATTATATTGTAGCAAGGTTTCTTGAGCGTGACATCAAATGAGCACCAGTCGGGTTTTATCTTCAACAAAAACATCGCAAACATTTTATTTTTGAATTTTTTCACGATTTAATTTGCTTTCCAAGTTCTTATTGAGTTAACTTAAAGACTAAGTGAACTTTTGCGCTTGCAACTAGCGTCGAGCGTTCGGTTTGGTGCACGCA